CCGGCCATGCTGAGGCCGCGTCCCACATACAGCAACTAGAAGGATGTGCAGCTATGACATACAACTATCTACTGTGGCTTTGGGGGGAAAAAATAAATAAATAAAATCTTAAAAAAAAAAAAAGAACAGCAAATAATAACATAATTTTTTGGCATTAAATATGAATGACATTTATATTATCTGTGATACAGTGCAACTGTGGACATAATTGAGAGTATTTACATTCTAATCATGTCAGGATGAGTTTTATAAAAGCTGGTCACAATCACTCCTGCCCCTGCCCCAAACCTGTGTTGCTTTTGAGGACTTGAGTGTGGAGGGGCCACATTTGCTCATCCAGAACTGCTCCACGCACTCTCCCAGTCAGGCCCTGCAGCAAGGATCCAGAGTTGTCATAGGAATCAGTACAGGGTGAGGAAGAGGGCTCTGGATTTGGAGTCTAAAGTGTGGGTTCTAAACCTGGCTCTGACTCTTATTAGTTAGGTAATCTTGTCAATTCATTTAGCTTTTAAAAAGTTTTGTAGGACCCAATATGTTCGTCTATAAATGAGGATGATAATTTCCATCCTACTTTCCATGGCAGGTAGTGGGTAATACCAAGCATGAAATGTGAAAATGCCTCATGATCAGCACAGTGCTATGTGAATGTTGTTACTGCCATGACTTCATTGGGATTTCTGAGGAGGAGCACGTTTTCCTAGTAGCTCTGTAAATCTTGTGCCCAGCTGTGGGAGAATAAGAAATTTTCAGGAAAATCAGCCTGTGAGTTTGCCATTAGAGTTTTGTTTTGAGGTTAGTAATATTTGTTCTCTTGGCGTCCTTTAGTTTTTGTCTTAGACATGCCCTGATCACTCTTTAACAATCTTTTGGTTGTATTTTGGTGGCAAATTTACCTCTTTTGGTGAGTTTTGACTTAGAATAGCCTCTTGGCTGGTACTCAAAAATGTTTAGGTTGCTTCCAAAGGCTACTCACTCTATAAGACATGATACAAAATCCCAGATATGCCAATGGGACCTGATATTTACTTCATTGGGATCCTCTCTTCTCTACTTAACAAACTCAGTCATCTAGGTCAGAGCTCCTCAAACCTGTGTGAGCATTACCATCACCTGGAGGACTGTTAAAATGCTTATTGCCAGGCCCCACCTTGCTGTTTCCATTTCAGTATGTCTGGAGTAGAGGGCCAAGAATTTGTATTTCTAATGGGTTCCTAGGTGGTGCTGATGCTAATGCTGATGGTTCAGGGACCACACTTTAAGAACCACTGATCTAAAACCTAGGGCAGGTTTTCTAAAAGTATGTTTCAAAGGGCTGCCTTGTTCAGAAACACCTGGGCTTGGTAAGGATGCAGATCCTTGGTTCCCACTCAAGCTTTGAGGAATCAGATTCTCTGGGATTTGGGAGCTACAGGTTCCATCTCATAGGTGATTCGTATGTATCTTAAAGTCTGAGAATCACTGATTTAGATGCAACAATTCTCAACCCTGGCTGCACATTAGAATTATGTGGAGAGTTAAAAAGCTACCAGTACCACCTCCCTCACCCCTAAAAATTCTGTTTCAGATGGTCTGGGGTGGGACCCAAGCACCAGGATTTTTAAAAAGCACCGTAGGTGATTCTAATGTGCAAGCAGGGCTGTGGACTAATGAGAGTAAGGACTGAGTTCATCATTCTGTGTCTTGGGGTGTTAAGAATCTGTGGGAACTGGCTTGGGTCTTCCTGGGATTCAAGATTGTTTGGGAATTCAGCCTAAAGTGGTGGTAAACTTCATCTAAGGCTAAGACTGATAGTCAACAAGTACCATAGGGAAAGTTGAAAAGAACTTTGAAGAGAGTCCTTTATCTATACGTTTGTATCTAGATGTTTATAATTATATTGCAAGCTATAAATCTAACGTTACTTCGTGAACTATATTTTGCTTAGTCTGATATTTAATTAAGGGTATTTGTCTTGTTCTACATTAACTGGTGATGTGTCTGGTAGCTCTGTTCAAATATCTTAAGGACTCTCATATGAAGACACTTAGATTCATTCCCTACAGTAGCAGAGGGAAGAGATAGAAGGTCAGATTTCAGCTTAATATAACTGGGGAGCTATGCGGAGGGAGTTTTAAGCAGAGACTGAATGATTAAGGATGGGCAGAGATGATGGAGAAGGAAAAGCGAATACTGGAAGTGACCGTGTTTAACCCTTTAGAGACTAGGATTCTAAGTCCATGAAGATATAGGGAGCAGTGAGGGGTCAGGATAGCTCTGACTGGATTCTCCTGAACTTTCCGGGACATTTAGAACTTGCTCTTAAAGACAGTTTAAACTTCCAGCTGCTTCCTTAGTCTTGGAGACCCGAAGCACTTCCTGAGGGTCTTGGAACATGAAGCGAACAGTGCCTGGGGTGGGTGCATCAAGTTGAAGTTTCTTGGGACAGTTTCTCGGAACCAATGTGGAATCCTGTCCCTGCCTAGACTTCACTAGGGCTGTAAGTTTGGAGCTCTGAAGCAGAGATTGTAGACATATAGTATTAATGAAGTTCTCTGACCTATTTATTGTGAAGGTGGCAGTCAGACAGTTCAAGTTGTGTGATCCAGGGAAGCCATGCTGTGAGCTCAGTGACCTTGTCTTGTAACCATGCCACCAAGTCACAGGCTGTTTGAGGCCCCGTGAGATTGTGGACGTGAAGGGCTCATGTAAACATGGGGTGCTCCTCAAGGAGGAGTGTTCCTGCTCCTAACAAATGCTATTCTGGAGTCGCATTTAGGGGTGGGCAGAGTTCAGGGCCATCCACAGGGGACAGAGGGCTCTGGGTCTGTCACTTCCTTATAGAATCAGTGCAACAATACGTTGTGTTTATTTCTCTTCAGTCTATGGGGATTTTTTTCAGCATAGATTTTAGCCTTCTGGTTCTGAGAAGAATCCGCATTGTTGCCATTCGCCTTGCAAGTCTGACTGCGACATTTGTAGCATTTTTGGAATTCTAACAAATGAAGTCAATTTTTGTCAATAGATGTTTCCCCCGGCTTTGTGTGTTTGCTCTAGCTGCACCCGCTTCTCACTTGACAGATGCCGCTTTCTCCACATCAGTGGACTTTTCCAGGCCTCTTCTCTTTATATTGGCCCTTTAGGCAGACATTTAAAGCAATTGTTCTGTTCGGTTTCATTACTTTGCTCTCACAGCTACAGTAATAGCTCACTTGAAAGAGAGCCTGGCTGCGTTGAGTTTTGTTTGCTTCCTAGTTCCAGGAAAGACACCCCTCTCCTCTCTGCTCCTGTTACTATTTACCTGAGCTCTCTTTCTCTTGCAGGAAAGCAAATGGAACACCAAAGCCCAAATATTCCAGGTGGAATCAGTCTGTTCAGTATGATAATTTTGTGGTTAGTGGTCTACTATTTTTAAATATCATTGCAGAGAAAATTGAAACCATTGATTTTCTCTAAAGCATCTTTTGTGTTCTAATAAACATTTTCCATTTCTTAGTACTTTATAATTCTGATTGATTTTGATTATATATTTGTAGAGATATTTTTTTTTCCCCTGAAGAGAAATAAAAGCCCTTAAATATTTTCTTTTTTTCTCTGTGTTCCGGGAGTCTCTAAAGTAGTCACACTCATGCATAAATGAGTGAAATAACTGGGAATGATAGTCTCAGGTGGGAGGCCACTGGAATTTTGGTGCTCTTCCAACTGCCTCTACTTGGTAGTGTGCTTCCCATCCGCGTAGACCCAAAGCTGCTTGTGGACCTTACCCGCCCTGTGAGAGGCCAGCCCCTGCTTCCCGACCTAACTTGAATGCAGTCCAGGGCAGGTTTGCTGGGGTGTGGAGGCATGGTCAGTCTGACAATAGCAAGGAAGAAGGGAAGAGGGAGGACCAGAGCTGCTCTTCTCACTTACCTGCCGCTCAGGTCCCAGCACGGTCTTGTTCTGAGCCTCTCTGTCCGCAAAGCCCTCTTCCCAATAGCCTCTGCTCCAGCGCTTGCCATAACAAGGGCCCTCTGGTGCTTTGTGGACTCTCTCTGGAATGTGGAAGCTCTTACTCCATTCATGGTGTCCCACATGGCCTATCAATGACACCTAAGTAGTCTGTGTATCCTCGTGGATTTAGGTCTCCATAGATGATCTTCTGGAAGTCCAGAGACCCGCTGAAACTATATATAAGAATTTGTTTGAATGTGAATACATGCATACATACATTTCCAGGAATGTATGTCTTCCTAGGGAGAGAGTCCATAGCTTTTATCAGATTCTCAAAGAGCTGTATGACCCAAAGATATTTTAAAAGGTCAAGAAATAGCCACCATTGTGATAGTCAGTGGCCTGCAGGCAGTGTTTAGTTCAACAACAAATCTTTATTGAGCACCTACAATGTGCCAGGTACTGTTGTAGGCTCTTGGTACATCAGTGAGCAAAAAACTCCTCCAAATCCTTACCTCATGAAGTTTACATTTCAGCTGGGAGGAGGCAGGCAGCAGACAGTATACATACACATTCTAAAGTATGTTAGAGGGTGTTAAGTGCCATGGGAAAATAAAGCAGGGTAAGGAAGATCAGGGATGTGGTGGGGGGAGAAGTGTTGCTATGATTTCAGGGTAGACCTCATTGAGAAAGTGCTATTTCAGTGAAATCTTGAAGAGGGAGAGAATCATGTGGATATCTGAGGGAAGAGTGTGCCAGGCAGAGGGACCAGCTAGTGCAATGACTCTAAGGTGGCAATAAACCTGTCATGTTCAAAGTGGTGGAGAGGAGCCAGTCAAGGAAAGTGGCAGTGAGTCAGAGGGTAATGGTATGTGTGTGTGTGTGCATGTATGTGCATGTGCACACGTGTGTGAAAGAGGCAGCGTCTTGTAGGTCTTTGTGCATGACTTTGGGGGGGGCTCTGGGAGAGTTTTCAGCAGAGGAGAGACATAACCTGACTTAGGTTATAAGAGGATCACTCTGGCTGATGTGTTAAAGACAGATGGTAGGGGGCAAGGGCAGGAAAAGAGAGACCAGGCTGCCGTGCAGTCATCCAGGAGAGAGAGGTTGATGGTGTGGATCAGGGAGGTTGCAGCAGAATGCTGGGAGCTGGTTGTATTTTGAATATATTTGGAGGTAGAGCCAACAAGATTTGCTGACAGATCAGATGTGGATTGTCAGAGAAAGAGAGGGTCAAGGATGACTCCAAGATTTTTGGTCTGAGCAACTGAAATGGTGGAGTTTATGGAAAAAGCTGGAGTTTTTAGGTCAGAGAGGACTTGGATCTCAGCTCTGCTACTTGTTGGCTGTGTTGTGACCTGACTCATGGGCGGTTCACTTAACCTCTCTGAGTCTCAGTGTTTTCATTTGCAGACTGGGGACAATCATACCTATCTCATAGGGATGGGATGAGGAATTACGATAATGTGTCTGGCATATAGTGCATTCAGCAGATGCTAATCCCTTTCCCCAAACTTCTTTAGGAAGGAAAGAGAGAAGAAGGGAGAGAGAGAGGATGTGGGTGAGTGGTGGCCCCATCTTAGATGTTCACTCAATGGGATCCTGGTTCCATTGTTTAATTATGTTATATAGTCTCTGAGGGTTTATCTTTTCATCAGCTCCAAGTTTTCTTCTGTCAGATGTCTGGGGCTACTAACTTGGGGTTCAATTTAAATATTATTTTTGTTATATTTAACACATTATTTTATTGTTATTTACATTGAAAAGCATGTTCCTTATAGTGAAGAAGGAATTCTTATCGGATACTGTTTATTATTTATGTGTACTGTCCATAAACAGGCCTAACTAATAGGTTTCTTGGGTTTTAATGATGAGGTTATTAGTGTATTGAACAGTTTATGTTATGCAGAAATCCTTGGTGAATTGTTATATGGCCATTTAAGAATGTTTTACTGATATTTGAGGTGATTAGTGAGGAATTTTGGATGAATTGGAAATGTGTTATTATTTTTCCCATTTAAGACAATGAAATATGGTCTACTACTATCTGATTATTAGTTACTAAACATGCTTTCAGCAGTGGCTACGTTTTGGATAATAAAGGATGCCAGAATTAGGAATTTAACAATTGAGGGGGGAGTGAGTTTGAACTATTTGGGTTGTAAGGATACATCCTGTTTCTTTGATTCAAAGATGCTCACTCCCAGCCATTTTAATGTTTCTGAAATTAGAGTGTATTTTGAAACCAATATACACATTTAATATGGTAATATTTTTGTTAGGGTTTGTGATATATTTCAATAAATGACACCCCTCTTTTCTATCCCAAATTAAAACCAAGTGAAAAGACAACAGAATATGCAGGTAGAGAGTAAATCTATCAGTTTATTGGTGATAGATTGGAGGACATAGCTTACTTTGAGTATTCTAAGTAGTAACACTTTCCTAGGTTGATGTCTGCCACTGATCTGGGTGGAGAAAAAAGGAGACTGAGATCCAATGCTCTATGCTTGGGACTTTGGCTAAATTAGCTTCACTAAACTGAGAAGTGTGATCCAATTGCTCTGGTCCTCCTACTGACTAACTCACCCCACCTCCAGGGTCAGAAGTGAGAGGCTAGTCACAGTCCAGAAGTATCAGAATTTTCCTCTCTGACATTATAGGTGCCACAGAGTCACTCTGAGTGTCCTTAAGAGAATATGACGGCAACTTCCCTTTGATGGGAAAATGGTTTAGTGCCTCCTGGAGGCCCTAAGGTTAGTCACTTTTTGGCAGAGGGGGTATTTAGGGGCCCTATTTTCTAGGAAAAGGGGTGTAATTCTTAATTTTTGTGTTTTGAGTGTCTAGAAGGAGTACCTTCTGAAGGAGGCTCTGGGGGAGAAGATGGGGATAGGGCATACTCGATTGTCCTTTCTGCACTTTTGAAAACTAGTTTCAGGGCCAAACTATATTTATCAGGAGATTATAGGCTCCTGTATGTATGTTTGGGGAGGGCTTTGTGGTTGAAGGGGAAGAAGGGGGGAAATATAAAGATATTTTATAAAAATTTAAAATGAAGTTGTAAATAGGTGTGGCCTTATTTTTAATTCTTATAAAAATAGGAAATACTCAAACAGTACAAATGAGAATAAAAATAAATCTCTCTACTTTTCTCTCAAAGTTCTTCTCTCAGAGGCAACCATTACCAGGTTTTTGTGAATCCTTCCAGAGGTATTTATGCGTAATAAAATATTTTGTTTGTTTTGCACAAATGATGAATGTTAAAGATGCTTCTAGAGAAATACATTGGATGGTCTTTATTAATCTTATAGACATTAATGATATATGACCTCAGTATCAATTCCACTATGTGGTACTTGACTATAGGAAAAACCTTTTTTATTAGGCATACAATTACAAATCGATGACTTAAAATCTGTTAAAGAGAAATGAATCCAAGTATAATGGTTATTGAAAGAAGCATCATTTGTACCAATGTGTTTCAAAGTGTATATTTCAGCTTTGTTTATCCTGCAGTGTCTCTGTGATATATGCTTCCATGGTTACCAGGTAATAGACATAATGGGAGTAAAAATGTATACAGAACTGAAATGGAATTATAATTGCAGATTTCCTCCACAGAGAACATTCATTGTCACCCCTGTTTCCTTAGGGCAATTTGGAAACTCAGAGACCCTGGATATAAAAGGTAGATATATACTTATTGGGTAGCTGTTACTTTTCTCAAAGTATGTATTTACCTACTTAGGAATTACCTTATACCGTCGTCTAAAAACTGAATTTGGCAGGTAAGCAGTGAAGTTAAT